CCTTGGCATTCCAATGAAATGTAACGAGTAAAAATAAATGTTAAAAACAACAGGCTTATTTTTTTTGTAAAAACAGAACATTAGAAATAGCCATTAAGGTTAAATGCATTGCATTGTGGGATCCAGTGTGCTCTAGTTTAGATCCTGCACTTTACAGCAATTTTAGTAGGCCATCTGGGGATTCTGTACTACATATAGAAAAGCAATTTGCATTCTGTGCACTGTATGTATGTATACTGCATACTACGGTTTTAAAATGCCATTTAAAGCATATATTATATCTAAAATGTGCATGCTGTGGGATAGAGTATAGATATAGTCAATTTATTTACATTTTTGTAAATACACATTTTAGCAAATGTAGTCATCCAGGTATTTTAAGCACACACAAATTCACATACTGTGCACAGTATACTTATGTACTGCAGAAACAGTAAGATTAGTATAATGGTGTATTATTCTGAACATATCAAATGTCTTTCAACTGCAACTGACTTCATGCAATTGCATCTGGCATGACCTTTAACTGAAGGTTATCGGACAGAGCGATACGCATTAATCACCACACGTTTGTGAAGTATGGATAGTGCGATCAGTCTTCCTGATTGGCTGAAGATCAAGCAATCAATGATAACGCAACAGAAAGACGAGTTATTCAAGGGCAACACAGGGAAACCTGAGCCCTCAGGACGATCAAACCGACAATATTAGACTAGTCTAGCTAACAAGATGACAATATCTATTTCAGGATAATGACATCATATCCAGTGCCGCAGGTTCATTGAGATAACACTCGCTCCATTCACGACTGCAGTATGACTCATGTTATGGTGAAGGTTATTTTCATATCTGTGGTCATCCAAACTCTACGTTCACTGGTGTGACTACCTTAGGATTAATCACACAAGAGGAACTGTGTGACTTCAAAACCGCACCACAATCACATCCATATTGATGATATAACTACACAAAATATAGCAGGTATTAAAGTAAAGAAAATACTACAGAAAATACTATACCATAGGCACTTTTGTGCCAGGGGTTAAACTGTATTGAAACTTTTTTCAACTGACTTATATACTTTTTTTTTTTGCATTTTACCCCATACCATTACCAGACTTTCAATCTTAAAATATGAAAATCCATCATAAAAATATTACCATCAATTAAGCAATTTTGCCTCTGATAAAGTATTGAAAAGTTAGTGTACTTGGTTACCAGGGAGACAACTGCCAGTAAACACCAGTTATCACAGAATATATTATTGTTCACCATTCTCAATCAAGTTGGGTTTTAAAATGCCATTTAAAGCATATATTATATCTAAAATGTGCATGCTGTGGGATAGAGTATAGATATAGTCAATTTATTTACATTTTTGTAAATACACATTTTAGCAAATGTAGTCATCCAGGTATTTTAAGCACACACAAATTCACATACTGTGCACAGTATACTTATGTACTGCAGAAACAGTAAGATTAGTATAATGGTGTATTATTCTGAACATATCAAATGTCTTTCAACTGCAACTGACTTCATGCAATTGCATCTGGCATGACCTTTAACTGAAGGTTATCGGACAGAGCGATACGCATTAATCACCACACGTTTGTGAAGTATGGATAGTGCGATCAGTCTTCCTGATTGGCTGAAGATCAAGCAATCAATGATAACGCAACAGAAAGACGAGTTATTCAAGGGCAACACAGGGAAACCTGAGCCCTCAGGACGATCAAACCGACAATATTAGACTAGTCTAGCTAACAAGATGACAATATCTATTTCAGGATAATGACATCATATCCAGTGCCGCAGGTTCATTGAGATAACACTCGCTCCATTCACGACTGCAGTATGACTCATGTTATGGTGAAGGTTATTTTCATATCTGTGGTCATCCAAACTCTACGTTCACTGGTGTGACTACCTTAGGATTAATCACACAAGAGGAACTGTGTGACTTCAAAACCGCACCACAATCACATCCATATTGATGATATAACTACACAAAATATAGCAGGTATTAAAGTAAATGTGTGCATTTAGTATACAAACAAGCTAGCTATGACAAAAGCCTTCCAAACATTTTTGAAATGCCATTAAAATGCCATAACATAAAACGTAATTAGAGATGTGGTGGAAATGAGACTTCAGAAGTTTCAGAAAAATAAAAATGACAGATTAATTCATCTACACTGCTGTTTGTTTCCTTTCTAAAAGTCCACAGGGAGGCTGAAGAAACACTTACATATCACAGTGTGAAAACATAAACTGCGAATACACTGATTGTATTGTGACACACACATATACAAACACACACACACACACACACACTACAGAAACCAGAATCGCTCTCAGCCAAACATGTCTTTCTAATTTCGGCCATAATAGAGTGAAATCGATGACCAATCATCACACAAACACTCTATTCTTATCCTGCGGTTGTCCTTGAGTCAGGTTGAGAGTGTGTTAAGAGCCGTATTCTGTTACACACTGGATAAAACACAAGGACGGTTGAAGGAGAAACTGTCATGAGCCACGCTCACGGCAGTAAATCACTCCACTATCTCTCAAAGCTAGATATCTTTGTCAATGAAACAAGTGTTCAACGGTACGCGTTCATCTGAAATATCGTCTTTTAATAAGAGCCGGGACAGTATGCAATGTAAAAGAGAGCTGAGATGATCTGCATTTCTGTTCCTTGGATTAGAAAAACTAAAAAGCCTTGGATCCATTTACAGAAAATGAGGGCTAGGTGGAATAATGAAATCAATTTATGCATCACAAAAGCTAAATCTGACTTCTTTGTGTCTGACCTCTGCGTTCTTTTTGAGCATGTAATTTAATCACTGCATTAAAAAAAATTAATGCCATTTAAAAATGATTTCATAGTCAGACACACCACTGTGACTTAAAGTGCTGGTTTGGAATATTTTTGATGCTCAATTTAATTTAAGGCTCTTACAAAGGAACAAAAAAAAAAAACACCTTAGCATTGGAGCCATGACATATCGATTATCATAAGAACTCCAGACAATGTTATTTTAGTATTATTGATATACTATTATAATTTTGCTAATATTTTGAATTAGGTTTTAATGTAATGTCAAGTCAAAGTAAAATGTAATGTAGCTGTCAGTTCGGGGTGAGTTGTCACAACTCCAAATTGCTGTTGGCAAATTTTTTTTTATAATTATACATTATATAATGGTAATAATTATATTATATAATTATATATTAAATTACATATAATAAAATAAATAAAATATACTATATATTTTATTATATTATATTTATGTGTATGTGTTTGTTAAAAATAAAATCTAATTATATACACACACACACACACACACACACACACACACGCACACACACTACCATTCAAATGTTTGGGATCAGTAAGATTTTTTATACTTTTTACCAAAGTTTCTTGTGCTCATCAAGGCTGTATTTATTTGATCAAAAATACAGAAAAAAAACCCAGTTAGTT